GGGAAAGATAAGAATAATGAATATTAAGAGGTTTTACAGATTTATAGTAATTTTAATTGTAATTTTAAATATTTTTTTCTTTTTTTGTTAAGCTTGATGCTCACTGTTAAGTGAGGACCGTCATCTTTTTTTTTTACTGTTTTGTATTTGTTCTATGCTTCTACAGTGTCAAATATATTGCCAAGATAATTTTGTTACAGACAACATTACTTAACCGGGGCAGAATGGTCATTTCTCCACAAACAGCTGCAAATCAGTTGTTATCAAACAACTGCCCCAAACAGCTAACCAACTTATCCGAATATGCTGCTAATCAGCAGCTTATCAGGATAAGTTGTTTATTAACAAATTATTCAATAAGCTGCAACTTCCCCAAACAGGCCCTAAGGGTAAATACTCGTTCTATGGATATATGGATATAAATGTTATATAGATATTTTGAATATATATAGATATATATATATATATATATATATATATATATAATACATACATAAAGAAAAAAAATTCAATATTTAATTAATATTACTTTGATAGTTAATTAAAGTGATAAATAATTAAAGTTTGTAATATGAATACTCAGATTTATTATAAACATCAATTTTATCGGAATCGACGTCAATAAAAATTAATCGACGTCAAGAAAAATTAATCGACATCAAGATGAGTACTCGTTCTTTCACTCTATAGCAAAAATTTGTTTTTTTTTCAACTATGTTGCAGGTAATGACACTTGCACATACTTTATTCTGATTGAGATAATTTTCTTTATCGGTCATATTGTTATAAATGTTGTAGTTACATACTCTTGTGCATTTTGTGTATATTTTACATAGTATGTTGAATTGCATGTGACAAATACATGTATGATATGTTTATGTTGTCTATGATGGAGTCACGTCTTTATGGTACTAGTGAGGGGAATACTAAAGTACTCGTGCATGTAAATAAAAAAGATATTGATATTGATGTTTAATTGACACAAATTTTAGATGGTACTCTTGTGACGATTGTACAGATATAGAGTGATATTGATATAGTAAAATAATTGAATAACATGTCAGATGTTTATATTGATTTAAACTTAAACGATATGCATATAGTTTCTTTTCTCTTATATTACTATAATTTAGAAGTACGAATATTCACTAGCTTGTTTAGTTCACTATTATTTTTAATCTAAATTTTCAAATTAATTTAATTCATTAAAAGATAAATGATATAAGAGAAAATATTTATAGAACACAGATAATTAGAAGCGATATAAGCTAAAATATACTGTTTTAATTTAATTTGATTTGTCACTCTTTCATTTATTAAACTGTATATAAATATAGAAAATTTAATTTTCCGTCCGATCATCCATTCTCGTCTCGGTTAATTCCAAGCCTTGGGTCAGGTTATGACAAAGGTGATATTAGAGGATAAGGTTTATGTTTAATTAATGAAATCTAGTTGAAAGAACAAATATGATAATTACAATGAAATTTTAATAAAAAAAAAAATTAAAGTTAACTCAAATAAATAATTATATATATTTAGGCATAGTGATACAACCAAAATTAAAGAAGAAAAGAATCTGATAAAAAAAAAATTAATGAAAATTTAATACTTAATTAATGTAAATTCAATAGCTAATTAAAGTGATAATTGATTAAAATTTTATAATTTGAATACCTACATTTATTATAGGCATCAATTTTATCAGAATAGACGTTAAAACAAATAAATCAACATCAATGTGAGTACTTATATTATTAATCTATAATAATAATTTTATTTCTTCTCAACTATTTTGCACGTAATGACACTTGAACATGTATTCTTATTAAGATGTTTTTTTTTTTTTCAGTTATTTGTTACAAATGCTTGCAGTTACTTCCTCTCATGCATTGGTATATGCTTTATAGAGTATGCTCAATTGAATGTAATGAGCCATGAATGATATGTTTATGTTGATTGTTTATATGTGCATGACTGATTAGTATAGAGTCACCCCTTAATGGTACTAGTGAGAGAATACTAAGTTACTCATGCACGTAAATAAAAAAGGATATTGATATTGATTTGTCTTAATTGATATAATTTTTAGACGGTGCCACGTAACGGTTGTACAGATATAGAATGATATTGATATAATAAGATACATTGGTATATGCTTTATAGAGTATGCTCAATTGAATGTAATGAACCCATGAATGATATGTTTATGTTGATTGTTTATATGTGCATGACTGACTAGTATAGAGTCACCCCTTAATGGTACTAATGAGAGAATACTAAATTACTCATGCACGTAAATAAAAAATGATATTGATATTGATTTGTCTTAATTGATATAATTTTTAGACGGTGCCACGTAACGGTTGTACAGATATAGAATGATATTGATATAATAAGATACATTGGTATATGCTTTATAGAGTATGCTCAATTGAATGTAATGAGCCATGAATGATATGTTTATGTTGATTGTTTATATGTGCATGACTGATTAGTATAGAGTCACCCCTTAATGGTACTAGTGAGAGAATACTAAGTTACTCATGCACGTAAATAAAAAAGGATATTGATATTGATTTGTCTTAATTGATATAATTTTTAGACGGTGCCACGTAACGGTTGTACAGATATAGAATGATATTGATATAATAAGATACATTGGTATATGCTTTATAGAGTATGCTCAATTGAATGTAATGAGCCATGAATGATATGTTTATGTTGATTGTTTATATGTGCATGACTGATTAGTATAGAGTCACCCCTTAATGGTACTAGTGAGAGAATACTAAGTTACTCATGCACGTAAATAAAAAAGGATATTGATATTGATTTGTCTTAATTGATATAATTTTTAGACGGTGCCACGTAACGGTTGTACAGATATAGAATGATATTGATATAATAAGATACATTGGTATATGCTTTATAGAGTATGCTCAATTGAATGTAATGAGCCATGAATGATATGTTTATGTTGATTGTTTATATGTGCATGACTGATTAGTATAGAGTCACCCCTTAATGGTACTAGTGAGAGAATACTAAGTTACTCATGCACGTAAATAAAAAAGGATATTGATATTGATTTGTCTTAATTGATATAATTTTTAGACGGTGCCACGTAACGGTTGTACAGATATAGAATGATATTGATATAATAAGATACATTGGTATATGCTTTATAGAGTATGCTCAATTGAATGTAATGAACCCATGAATGATATGTTTATGTTGATTGTTTATATGTGCATGACTGACTAGTATAGAGTCACCCCTTAATGGTACTAATGAGAGAATACTAAATTACTCATGCACGTAAATAAAAAATGATATTGATATTGATTTGTCTTAATTGATATAATTTTTAGACGGTGTCACGTAACGGTTGTACAGATATAGAATGATATTGATATAATAAGATACATTGAATAGGATGTAAGATGTTTATATTAATTTATTAAAAAGCTAACTAGCATCTATATTAGTTTTTTTTCCCTCGTATTACTGTAATTTACAATTATGAGCATTTACTAACTAGTTTAGTTCACAGTTAATTTTAATCCATTTTTTAGATTAATTTAATTAATTAAAAGATGAATGATAAGAGAGAAAATGTTAATATAAGAAACGGACAACCAGTAGCGACTTAAACTTAAACATATTTTTTAAATTTAATTTGGTTAGTGGCTTTTTCATCTGTTAAATTGTAGAAGAATATAGAAAACATAATTTCCACCAACCGATTATTCATTCCCGTCTTGGTTAATTCTATGTCCTGGGATGGGTCGTGACATAATTAGAGTACTCTCACTAGAAAACCAATGATTATATAAGCAAGGATTCCTAATTCAATAACTCTCACCATCTACTTTCTCACATATCAGTAAGAAGCCATTACAGTCAGTTATTTACTTGAACAAATTAATGGTTGATGACAAATTCCAAGACTTAGTTAAAAAATTAACCATGAAACCAATCCTCTAATTCTACAAAATTTTCCAAAAGAGTATTCAGAGAAGCTCGGAATCATTAATATCATCCTTTATAACTAATTTAAAAAGTTTATGCTGAAAAGAAAAAGCATGACCTGAATCACCCATATGCTCAGCAATGATTCAATGCAGAAGAACCCAAATCCAATGAAGTAGAATACCTGCAACCAAAAGGGATTCCAGATCCGTAGTTATATCTGCAGCCTTAAAACACACACACACACACACACACACACATATATATATATAGAAGTGCAAGCTAAATAAAACTGCAACCTCTGTAATTTTGATAAGTTACATCTAAATCAACGTGAAGTATATTATAGATAAGTGAACTAGTCAACAAACTTCCGCTAGAGTTCAAGGGAACAACTCTTTGAACTTACAAATTCACTATTTTGTGCATCAAGGATTACAGGTACACCACTTTTAAAAACATCTCCACCCATTATTCTGATAAAAAGCAAGTTGGAGAAAATAACGAAGGATACCTAAGCTTCAGAGTTCCCAAGAAAACTTCTTACTTTTCTAGTAGTCTAATAGTCATACTATTTATTTAAGATAGTTTGGTGTTTAGTTTGGCGGCAGTTCTCCACTGACTATGCACCAGATTCAGCTGCAGCTTCCTCCCCATGTGAGGACAGAAACATTGCCCGTCTTCATCACATCAAATGTACCCTAAAATTTTTCAAGGATCTTCTCATGAAAAAAATTTGGGACAATGATTCATGATCAAACTTTGATCAAAATAGAGTCATTCAATTTGACTTGATAAATCTAAAATAGTCATTAAATTTGACGTGATAAATCTATGATACAATAGTTGATAGATTAACCATCTATATTCATTTTAAAGTAAATCTAACGACAAAGAAAATCTGTCCTGACTAACATTTAGTCAGATATCCTGACCCCCAAATTTTCTCCCTTGCTCATATAGCAACTAGCATTAGTCATTGTCGAGTTAACTATAATTTGAACCATTAAATCCATAATAAGACTTACCCCAACAATCACAGAATCTCCAATAACATCTACAGCTGCCAAGATACCACTGTTTCACACAATCACAGGATAAAGCATTAGAATAAACATTATAGCAAAAAAAAATATAACGAAATGTTACAATAATTTCACACATAAGAACTGTCAGTAAGCTTCTTAACTTATGTTTAAGAAATCCATATATTTAGTTGGCGCGTACTATTTTCTCCATATGGATATGAATATATTACGAAAGGTTTATTAATGTTTTCAACTCAGGCTATCGTACATATGTATAATAGCAGTGATTCATTGAGAAGAATGCGGGTGAATTCATCATATTCTGCCATTAGTTTATCATAATGAAGCCACCATCTTTCAGTAGAAATATTTTTTTCAGATGCTACACATATTTATATTTTTTTTCAGTGGGTGGGTAGTGGGTTGTTCATTGCTACAGCAACGGAGCGCTCAATGAGACAAACCAAAGTTTTTTTTTTTTTTTTAGTTTATCCAAAAAAAGCAAATAAAAACAACAAAAATAGAATAATTGAGTGAGAGAATCATTGTGAACATAAAACTTATAAAGATGATCATTTTTTTTTTAACCATCAATATATCATTGTGAGAATTAATTATCAGTGCTTTCACTTCATGATTAATTGGAGAACAAGATGAACATCAATTAAATTGAGCTCGAGAACCAGGATTGTTGAGTAACAATTTAATTTGCCTTTCATATGTATAAAATACAACGAATCAATGATCTAACAATTATATTAAAAAAATGATCTATCAATTATAAAACTTCCCGCAGTAATTTTGTTGGCTGCAATTTGAAAAGAAAATCTATGCAGCAGCCGATGAGTTGGCAAGATACTAAACAGAAAAGTGACACATCAGATAACAAGTGTCCAGTTTTTAAGTTCCAAATTTCTCACAGAAACCACATCGGGTGGAAAAAATTCAGCACAGAGTCATGAAACCTCTGCTACCCCAGAAACTTGAAAAGGAATGCGGGAATGTGAGGTGCATGACGGCAGAGAGAGTCTAGAAATAGGTGAAAGAAAGAGTAAATATACAGATTGCAGATTACAAGTAAAATGTCGCAGCCTTCCAGCCTAATCGGAATTTTCACTGTAAATCATGTTCAGCTACGGATTACATAAGAAAATGACAAAAAACATTTATAGACCACTGTAACTAAAAATCTACACAAAGCTCATTCATCCCTCAGGTTTTTCATGAAAACAAAATTCATAGCTAGAATCTTACGTTAGCGATTTTCCTTTGAAGATAATAGGAGGAGTAACAGCAGCAAAGATGCAAAACACAATGTGAAGCTGTACGACAAAATGTTACAATTAATTTTCTGATTCTAGAAGTGGAGAAAAAACCAAATAAAAATCACGTGTTTGCATATACCAAGTAAAATAGGAAAAACCATCCAAACTTCAGGGCACTTTCAGTCCTGAAAAATTCAAAAATACAGATCTAGTTAAAGTAGAGAAGACAATTATTTAAGTACAAGATAATACCATGCAAATACAACAACTAAGGATAAGTTCTCCAAAAAAAGGAGGATGACGAAACGCAACTAGGAACTGAACCATTGATGAATGCCTTGTTTTACCTCATGGCATTGTAAAGAGGTCGATACCACAGTACATAGGCTCCAGGGCACCCAGAAATGAAGTAGATGATGGCAAGTAACCAAATTTTCACATCTGAAGGAGAAAAAATGCCATTTAAGAATTTTCGCATGTATTCAATCTACATAGCATTCACACAAGCTCACAAATATTTTTGATGAACCAAACTTACTTGAAACCTTGATCCAAGCGGCTGTAACAGCAATAAGATTCCAAAACAGGCATGCAGTCAATCCTGCAAAAAAAGAAAAATGCAAAAATGCAGTAGGCATAAAAAATAAATGCCTTCCAAAAAATTATGGAAACTATGAAGCATTTCAGAAGCTCCAGCGAATTACACATATCAAAATTTTAACATCCCACATATAGCAAAGATAGATGGTTTTTGGAACAAGTGACACAAAAACAGCCTGGCATGCCTTGGCTAGGGGTGTAGATGAGTCAAGCGAGCTCGCAAGCTGGCTCGAAGTTGACTCATTAACGAGCTTGCGAGTCGAGCTTTGTTGAGCCTAGAATTCAAGCTAGAGCTTATAACTGAGCTCGTATAATATACAAGCTTGAGTTTCACACGACTCGACTAGTTAACTCGATGAGCAACTCAATTAAAATAGACATAACTGTGTAACCTTTTGAAACCCTAAAATCCTATACCCAATCCCGTTTTCGTCTCATTACCCCCTCTTCCTCCACAGTCCCCATTCCACCACCTCTAGGCATAGCAATACTCAAACCCCCTCTTGCGGCTCAGCATCAGCGTAACTCTCGTCTCTCCACTGCAGGGCTTCGGTATGCAGCATCCGCAATCACTCCACTTCTTGGAGCATTAACTAGAGTTTTAGAGTTTTTTTGAGAGTATATCAAAAGGTGTTGTTTCTCTTTTTTTTTTCCTTGTAATTGATTCTTTTGTTCTGACAGGGAGAACTTCAATTATCGCTAAAAATTCCTTTTTTTTTTCCTTGGTTCTCAGCATCGGTGCTCAGATTCCTTCCAAGTCTGGTTGGGGTAGATATCATCTCATTTTTCTTTGTTTTTGTTTACTAAGGCAGCTTGGCCTTTTTTTTTTGTGCATCTATTTAATTTCTGATGTATGGGTTTGTTAGTTTATCTGTTTGATCATCTTTGTGTGGCTGCTGCTGCTCTTGTGTTAATTAAATTAGTTGTGGGAAAATTTTGCAGTTTCATTGCTTCAAATGGAAATTTGAATGTTAGAATAAGTAATTCTCAGTTACTGAAAGATATCAGGAAAAAATTTATCTTGTAAGGAAACTGCTGATTTAGATACATACCACTCAATTTACATCAATTTACATATCATGCTCAATTTACATATCATGCACCTAAACTTCAATATTCATGTTAAATATAATGTGAAAAAACTGAAAACAAGAGCAAAGCAACTTGAAAGTTGAATACGGAAAGTAACATGAGTTCTATTTTTTTTCTTTTCAGAATAACTATATGTTTACATTTATAATTTGGTTTTGATGCAGATTTTTCGGTTATGGATGTTGCTTTCCCTTTATTTACTGTTTCCTGCAGTCGTATAGTTGGAAATAAATGGAAAAGTTTTCATGATCCCTCTTAAAAATAGTATATATTCAGGATTTTGTTTAAAAGATAGAGATATACGACACAATTCTTATGAATTTACATATCAAAAACTTAAATTTTTCATATTCACGTGCATAACACTTCAATCTTTAATATCACACCAAAATACCATTGCTTCTACCTTTTTAAAAGTGAAGTACACCATTTATTAAATATAAGGGCTTTGGTTTTGTAGACTTTTGGTATGGATTAAAGCAACCAGAATGTATTTTGGTAATAATTTAAAATATCCAGGGAGCTCATTTTTTAATGAATTCAACCTTTGCCTCTATTGGGGAAATTCGAATTGCATTTCTCATAGTTTTATTGATATTTCATGGTTCTATGATTCTTTCATTACAAAATTTTCTAGTTAATTTGATTGTTTAGTTATTTAATATAATTATTTTTTTATGCATGATTTTAAACAAGTTAGTTAATACACTTAGTACGCGCTATTCTTTCTCATATTGCCCATATGATTAAATCTGTTATTATTTTAGAAATAATGAAGATATTAAATTACCTTGTTTGTATTGTTTATTGTATTAGTGAGCCAACAAATGTGGAGAATGAAATATTAGACGAATCAACTCAACCTCATATAGATGGAGAGCAAATTCATACTATTAGAATTGACTATGAGAATATTAGTGAAAAATACAATGATGCTAATGATGGAGAGAATGCCGGTGATAGGGAGAATAATGACGATGGTGGGCGATGAGATTGAAAGTTGACATGAGAAAAAAAAGGAGGAGAACATGAACATCAAAGGTACGGAATGAGTCTCTAAGAAAAAATATTTTTTATTGTCAGAGAAAAGAGGAATGCAAGCATTGCAAGAAAAAAAAAAGAAAAGAAAAAATTCCTGTCAGAAGTACTGGTGCAACTACTCAATTTATGAGACATTTGAAGTGTTGTGCGGCCAGAATTCAAGTAATGAGAAGGCAGAAAATATTACATTTTCAATTTTCAATCGTTTGACACTAAAACTAGAAGCAATGACCGGCCGGTTTGAAGGAGAATTTTTGGCAAACTTCAGATATGATTAAAGTAAAGTTAGAGAAATGATTGCACATTACATATTGATAAATGAAAAGCCTTTCTCGATTGTTAAAAAATTTGGTTTTAATTTGGTTTTGGAAGTCAATGACCTAGTATTTCACAAAATCTTCAAGCGCAACTGCTCGCACTGATGTCATGTTAGTGTATAAGGAGAAGAAGTTAAGCAACACATTAAAAAATATCAACAAAAGTGATTTCACAATAGATTTATAAAAATCCAAAAGCAAAAGAATATCATACATGTTTGTCACTGCACATTATGTTGATTCAAATTGAAGATTACAAAAACGTGTTCTCAATTTTCTACATTTGAGCCTCCACACACGTCATCTGAAATAATTGACACATTCTATAAAAACTTTGTTCATTGGGGAGTTGAGAGCAAAGTATTTACAATATAGGTAGATAATGCCTCTAATAATGATAGAATAATCAAATTATTGAAGGACAGTTTCAGAGTGACGAAGTTATTCTTTAGGAGTATGCTTTTTCATGTTTTTTATTGTGCACATGTTCTAAATTTGATGATGAAAAATGATATTAAATGTATTGATTTTGTAGTTGACAAGATTCAAGACAATTAAATTTTTTAAATTCTTTTGGAACCAGGTTGATGAAATTTGCCGATGGCGTTCAATAATTACAATTGCCCGTAAGAAAACTAGTGATTGATTGTCCAACAAGATGGAATTCTACCTATTACATATTGACTGTTACACTACAGTTGAAACAAGCGTTCTTTCGTATGGAGAAAGAAACATTGGGTATAAAAATTGCCCCACTGAGAAGTGGAATAACATTTAAAAAGTTTGTGACGTGCTTAGTTTCTTTAATAAAACAACATAATTTTAAGGACAAAGTATCCAACTTCTAACTTATATTTTCTATAAATTTGCACAATTAAGAATATGTTAGATGAGAGATCAATTTTCTCTGATTATTTTATTAAAGAATGAACAAAAAGATGAAAATAAAATGAAAATTATTGGGGTGAATAAAATTTACTCCGGATTTGGAGCTCTCATGGGTACTAGAATAAATTTTGTAGTGATTAAATTTGCATATCCAAAAATCTACAATAGTGATGAAAGTGTTACGACTCGACCAGGGGCTTGGAGTTAACCAAGATGGAGATTGACGATCTGACGGTGAAAATTAATTCTCTGTTATACTATTTCTATCATTAACAGTTTAATATTCAAACTTTCATGAAGAAGACATTAAAGAAAATAATTTGATTAACAAGTAGAAATTTATACATTTCCTGTTGTTGATCTCACAATCTATAAGCATTTGCTCATCTTCAATTCCTCTTATTCAAAGAATTAAAACCTAAAAAAAAATTAAAGCAATATAATGAGTTGTATAAAGATAACATAAGAGAAACCACACTTTTAAATTACAGTAATTCAAAGAAAAGAAATCAATATTCATGTTGATCTTTTATATCTCTATGGAAAATCTTGAAATATGCTAATCTTTTATATTTCTATAAGAAATCATTGAATATACTAATGCATGTATCAATGACCTATACTCAAAGAAAATACTCAAAGCTTCTATACGCATTTACTTTAATTTTACATTTACTTTATACTCTTTACATACATATCTGTCTCTTTGAGGATCGTCGTCAACAAAATCTAACACACCTCTGGTATATATTATCTCATCAGCACAGCGATTAGCGATTTAAACATCACAATTATCTGAGGTAGAAATCAATATGCATGTTGATCTTTTATATCTCTATACATCTCTCTATAAAAATCTTGAAATATGCTAATCTTTTATATTTCTATAAAAAATCTTTGAATATACTAATGCATGTATCAATGACCTATACTCAAAAAAAATAAGTTTCTATACACATTTACTTTAATTTTACATTTACTTTATACTCTTTACATACATATCTGTCTCTTTGAGGATCGTCGTCAACAAAATCTAACACACCTCTGGTATATATTATCTCATCAACACAGCGATTAGCGATTTAAACATCACAATTATCTGAGGTAGAAATGTCCCTACTTGCCCCTATCCGATATTCTTCCATTGAAACATTAGTTAGTGATCCAAACATCAAAATTTTCTGAGGTGGTGAGCTATGTCTACTCACTCTTGATCGATATTCTCTCGTCGACACGTCGGTTAATGATCTTAAGCATCATAATTGTCTGAGGTGGTAAAAAAACTAAATGTTTAACTGACGTCTCATGTCTGTATCATTAGGAAATGAATGCATTCTCTTAACATGAGCATAAAAACATGAATTCATATATAAGCTATTTCATTCTTCTCAGACATCTTCATTCATCTACTAACATGCATACTTTGCTATATATCATTCATATCGCTATAGTATATATATCTCATATCATGCATATCTTTCATATCATTCATATTATTTATCTCGTACATATCTTGCATATCATTCATATCTTTCACCTCATGCATATCTCTTATATAATGCATATATTTGTTGTCTAACAATACGAAGATCAAACTAAATTAGAGCATACATGAAATCAAACATACATTTTAAAATAAAGAAGATTATCAAGATTTAAAAAT